TATTATTAACTACTACTACTGCTGCTGCTGCTGCTGCTGCTGCTGCTGCTATTGTTTCTGCTGTTTTTTGTTGGGGGTTTTTTGCTTTTGTCTCAAAATATCCCTTGTATGGCTATTGGGAATTTTCTGTGGAAAGGCATGATCCTCATTCATTTTCTCTGGAGAGGGGATTTTTTTGTTACTGCATATTATATGATGCTGGCAGTCGAAAAGGCTCTGAAAATTCTGAGATTTTGCTCTCTTCAGATGCCTCAAAATGCCTTGCCTGGCTCGTACGAGTTTCGAGTGGAAGGGCGGTTGACTACACATGGGAGTGGCATTGTGTTCACGAACCAGACGCGGATAGAATTCAGCCCCAAGTACATCTCTCTCTTCATTCAGATGAGCAAACCAATCTACAAGCAAGAGCAAATGGGTAAGAAAATAATTGATGTCATTGTCATAAACTTGGGGAAAGGATTTAAGCTCGAAGACATGTTGGCTTTTAAAGTGCTATTGACTGAGGGCAGAAGTTTCCAGGATTTTGGGGACTTTGTTTTTTCGTGTTTGATTTTCTAAAATTTACTTTGTTTTTGTGGTGTTGAACACTCACATAATGTGAAAACTTGTTTTTTCAATTGTGAGGCAGCGTGGTGGAATCAGGCTCTCGTCAAAATAATGAAATCGAAGAAAACATCTGTTTGCTCCCTGCTCAGCAATCTTTATCAATTTTTTTTTTTTGGCTCAACACCTTTTATGTTCATTTAGAAACACATTCCTTTGAGGATTTCACTGAAACTATTGATTAAAAGCAGAAAAATATAAATTTACATCTTCCATGGACTTTATAGCTTTGGAATTTACCAAGCTTTGGCGGCCATTTTCTCGCTAATCTTATCTCTTAAACCAGGTGACCCCCACCTCCTTCAATCCAAAATATCTCCACTTCTATTGAAGATGGATGGGTAATTTTTTCATTGAAAGCAAGACATAATGAACAAGCTTTAAGATGATACAAAGAACTCAATATGCCCAAAAATTGACGAGAGCCTGATTCCACCACGCTGCCTCACAATTTACTTGCAATGAGAATTGAAAAGGACAATTTTTTTGTATCAAGATGAGTGACTTGCAGTGCTTTGTCTCGACTCTATGTGTTAGCGTGTATTTGACTGTATGTGTTAGCGTGTATTTGAACATGTTTTTTTTGTGGTGTATATATATAGTGGCGTCCAAAAGAAACTTGAAAATGTAATCACCCAATCATGGTGTTAAAACTTCGCATTACCCACTCATGCAGCATACCAATTTAAAGCTTAATAAATTCTGCATCATCTGACTAATTAAGAATTCACCTTTGTTAAGAGACACCTGAGATATGGTAATTCAAAATTGACCTTAAAAAATCAGGCTTGGCAAAATTGTACGAAGTGAATGAAATGTAAAATTGTCGTCGCGCGTGTATTGAGGAGCATCAGTACTGATAGAATGAACATATATTGCATATCCAATGAATGGAGAATATTGTCTCTGTAGTAAACACTATTTTATTACGATCTTTCGTCACAATAGTTTCAAACAAAACGGAAAACAGAGCAATCACAAATATCAGGTCCTTGTTTTGCGTAGTATTTTTAACTGTTCTATTTTCCAGTCTGTTTGAAAATATCACCAGAAGATGCTGTTCTTTGTAGAGACAATAATATTCTATTTTCAATTGATATTCAATACAAGTCCATTCCACCAATGGTGATGCACCTCAATATACGCACAAACACATTTTTCCGATTCTCTGATTTCACACAATTTTTCCAAGCTTGATTTTTTAAAGGTTAATTTTGGGTGACCATATCTTGGGCTTCTCTTAACGTAGAGGGAATATTAATGTGTCAGGTGATGCAGAATTCATTTAGCTTTAAATCGGTATCCTGCATTAAAGGGTAGTACAAGGTTATAACACAATGATTGGGTGATTACATTTTTTAATTTCTTTTGGATGACACTGTATATGTGTGTGTGTGTGTGTGTGTGTGTGTTTGTGTGTGTATGTTTGTGTTTGTGTGTATGTTTGTGTGTGTGTGTTTGTGTGTGTGTGTGTGTGTGTGTGTGTGTGTTTGTGTGTGTGTGTGTGTTTGAGTGTGTGTATGTCTGTGTGTGTTTGTGTGTGTGTGTGTGTGTGTGTGTGTGTGTGTGTGTGTGTGTGTGTGTGTGTGTGTAATAGTTATTATGCTGGAGGGTGTGGGGGACAATAGAGTGCTATTATTTTAAAAAATAGGATATTGATATGTTTATGCTACAGTTAGGTTTAATTCAAACAAAGCACTTTTTAAAAATCTGAGAAAAGGTACAGTTGAAACTAGTTTTTCTTACTTATGTTAAACTTAACTGCACATCAGTTGACACCTTTCATTGTATTATTTCCTTTTTTCCCCTTCTCTACAGTTCATTTTCGTGTGATTCCAGTCCAACCAAATCTGATGCCAAAGTATGACAACGTGATCATCTATGTCCTGGTAAAGAT